AAAAAAAGAAAAAAGAGTTACACATGAAGTTGTTGCTACAGCAATGTTTATGATGTAGAGACCCCTCGCTGCAGCCTAAAGCTTCCAGAGAAAGGTTAAATAAATTCTTGGGGATATAATACAACCATTTAAAAAATGATGTTTTGAAAAAACAAAAAACAAAAAACAAAACAAAATAAAACCAAAAAAAAAGATGTTTTGGGGCACCTGGGTGGCTCAGTCTGTTGAGCAACCAACTTCGGCTCAGGTTGTGATCTCACAACCTCACGGTTGTGAGTTCGAGTCCCGTGTCGGGCTCTGTGCTGTCAGCTCAGAGCCTGGAGCCTGCTTTGGATTCTGTGTCTCCTTCTCTCTCTGCCCCTCGCCCACTTGTGCTCTGTCTCTTTTTGTCTCTCAAAAATAAATAAACGTAAAAAAATTTTTTTTAAATGATGTTTTGGGGTGCCTGGGTGGCTCAGTCAGTTGAGTGTCTGACTCTTGATTTCGGCTCAGGTCATGATCCCAGGGCCGTGGGATCGAGGCCTGCATGGGGCTTCATACTGAGCATAGAGCCTGCTTGAGATTCCCTCTCTCTCTAAAATTAAAAAAAAAAAAGTTTTAATGCCATAAGAAAATGCTTATGCTAAAACTTTTAAAAACAAAAGCTAGCAAAATCTCATCTTAGTATGATCTCAAATTACCTGTAAAATATGGCACATTGTAAACAGTTGTTTTCTCTAAGTGATGGGACTGTAAGTACTTTTTCCTGCTTTTTCTCTACAGTTTTCTATTTGTATTGGGGAAGGGTAAAAAAATAATTGAAGGACTGAGTGTTATAGCTAATCAAATAAAACATTTTGGTCTTTCTTATTCTAAGCCTGTTTTTTGTTTTGTTTTGTTTGTTTTTAAGGAAGTCAATCTCTGGCAGCTCAATTGTCCTGTCCTTTGGATTAACAGTGGACAGTATTCTGTATGGGGGTGATGAAAGCTGGCATTTACTGAATAAATGCTATATGCCAAGCAGGGATCTAGGTTCTTACTATATACATTATCTAATTTAATTCTCATATCAACCCAATGAGTAGTATGATTATCTCCATCCTGGAACTGACACATAGGTGAATTATTGGCCCTAGGCCATCCAGCAGCTATCCAAACACAAGCCCTCTGGGGTTTGAATGGCTACACCATTTACAACACATTAGACCCTCACAGCATTTTATTAGGACTATCATTAGTTTCAAAATATTTGGGAAGTGAGCTGACTCAGTAAGGTGCTACTTATGCATGCTTCAAAGAATCAAATCATCAAGGAGCAGATCAAAGGAATCTCCCAGTTGATACTCTGTGGAAATTCCAGTGAAGAGATTTTGCCAAAGTCTATCTTATGGATGGAAATGACTATCTCAATGAGGTGGTGATAATGTCACTTGTACCTTTTCTCCTGTGACATCAGTCAAATGTTCATGGACCTGAGGTGCAAGGCATAAGAGAAAAAACTATATCATCTGCAATCAGACTTCTAACCTAATTGAGGAAATAAGACAACACACAGGGAACAATTGGCACAAAGAAGAAGAAGAAGAAGAAGAAGGAGGAGGAGGAGGAGGAGG